CATACATACATACATACATACATACGTACGTACATACATACATACATACGTACGTACGTACGTACATACATACGTATGTACAATACATGGAAAATGATTACAAAAATGATGATGATGATAATAATCACGACAATGAATATAATGATTATGACGACAATGACGATGATGATGACAACGAAATGACTACTATGTATCTTCTTCATAATGTATGTCACGGCATTCATTCGAATTGAAATGCTGTTTTGAAAGAAAACAAACCGACCCATTGTATCAGAGAGAAAAAGAGATAGAGAGAAGAGAGAGAGAGAGAGAGAGAGGCATACAAACGTACATATATAATTATTACACACACACTCATACATACATATATATATATATATATATATATATATATATATATATATATACACACACTTACATACAATTACATATTTACAAACAAACAAATACACACAATTATAGACGTACAAATATAAAAAAAACACATTTGGCGATTTGATTAAACAAGTTAAAGCAAAAAATTAATGCGAACCTACAAAACATACCAAACATACAAACTGGGAATATACAATAAAATATACACATACACCAGATGCAACATTGACACCAATGGCATGGCTAGCATGTACTTCTCCGATATGTGATGTACAACAAACCCATATTTAATCTGACAAAAGCTTGCACGTATTTACCGCACTTATTGCACGTATTTAGCATACTTCCCACGACGAATGAAACACACACTTACACACCTTAATACAACACAAGCTTACAGGACAGATGCAAACCTTTGCATTCGCACAGTATACACACTTACACACACACACACACCACTACCATGTTTGCGTATGTTAGAAGTCAATTTTCTGGATTATATTACTTTTTTTTTGTCACACACTCTCGCTATTTCCCGATCTTTCTTTTCTTGTCCGGTTTGATTTCCATTTCCATTATTCCTTTTTTGCTCCTCTTTTTTTCTTTCTTTCTCTTTTCATCAATCTAGTTCTTTCTCTTTTTCTTTCTCTCTCTCTCTCTCTCTTTTACATTCCTACGTTATCTATCTTTTCACACAAGTTTTTGTCTTTGCAGTTTCATTCATTTTTGTGTTTCCTTCCCACTGTGTCACTCATATTCTCACATTTTCGCGGCTTAACTGACTGCAGAGGCACCACGGATGGCATTTCTATTTTTATTGCTTTTATTTTTTGGTTTTTTCTTTTTTTATTATTATTTGTTTTCTAAAGTTCTTTTGCATATGAAAAAATTTGAAGCGCCAGCTGTAGAGGAGTTCGAAAAAAATGCAAATTATGTTTTCTGTATAATTAATGCTATTGCCTGAAAACCAACATTTACATTGTAAATTAACGCTCAAGTCCACGTTTACCTATAACGGTTAGCTCATCTCAAACCTCACTTACATACAATCAATACACTCAACTCGTGGCGCCAATCGGCTAGAGAAGAGAAGTATAAAAGTTGGAAGACAAAAACGAACAAATGAGTCAGGTAGTAAGGTGTGTGTGTATCTGTACGCTGTGTATGGTTGTAGTGTTTAGTTTTTATTATTATTGTTTGCAAAGGTGTTTTAGAAAACGCACTTTTTAACGATTTCTTGGCACACGGAACCGTGGGGTGTCAGTCTAAGTGAGGAGACTGTCAGACTAAAGGCATCATTTAGTTTTATTTGCAGTGTTTTTTCGGTCAATATTTATGTTGGTATGTCTATTTTATATACTTACTTAAGTTGAATGTTAATTTATTTAGTTAGCTAAATATCAAATCTTTAAGTAGAGTTATTATCATCGACAGTTTTAAAACTGTTAAAAATGACTCAAAGATTATTATCTAACAGATAAATGCATTTCAAGAGGTTGAAGTTAAACATTAACAAATGTTAATTTTCCACTCGAATTCACAAAACAAACCAAATCCGAAACCAAATGTTTGATTTACAACTGGGCGTAGAAAGTTTCAGGATCAAGACAAAACTTCTCAATGCAGTAGAGAGCATGCTGCCTGCCCAGTGCCGCATTATTTCTCCTCAAAAGATGGTCCATCTGCTTCTCCTTGTACAAACTTCTTGGTAGTTGGGTAGGCCCCCTGAGTGGAAGGACAGTGGGCAGGCAACAAATTGGACACAAAATTTGGTAGCAGTCCTGCTTGTCCTTCATGTTGCAATCAGTGGCGCACGTCAGGCAGATGACGTGGCCACATGAAAGCAGCGTCGTCGGCGATTTCAACGAACGATTTTGACAGCATTTTTTGCAGATGAGAAATTCTTCGGTTACTTTTTCAGGATGATTCATTTGTAACGATGTGTGTGTGTATGTGTGTGTGCGTTCTTATGTGTGTGTGTTTGTTTGTGTATGTATGTACGTCGTATAGGTACGATAACTGTGCGTTTATTTGATTGTATGAATACGTTATTTAAATTTTTTATCAGAGCTGATAATTTTATGTTTCAATTCAATGTTTTTATATTATTTCAATGAGTATTTCAATTTTTTATGATTTAAACTGTGCTAAAATCTTTCATTTGAAACATAATAAAAGTAGCAATTTAGCATTTATTTACAATATAAAAAGATATTTTGACTCAAACTTATTAAATGGCGTCATGCTTAAAAGTGAATCAAGAAAAAATTACATAAAATTTTTAGACGAACATAGCACGCATGTAAACAATGAGGAAGTAGTGGCTAAAAATTGTGAAAAATTAAAACTCCTCACTAAAATTTGGACGGCCACTTTGCGTCCTAGTGTTGGAATAGTTGTCCAAGCCACAGATGATTTTGACATAAACATAATAATTGAAAGCTTACAAAACTCAAAGCTCAATGTTCCTAATTTTCTTCCACAACAACTACCTAGCCATAGTGAGACAACTAAATGCTGTTGACTTATTATTTTGCATCAGTCGATATTTGATTTATATCCGAAAATTTTAAAATATTTTAATCTCGGCATAATTTACAAATTTGTGAAATTTTTATATCTCGTAATTTTTCAATTACAAAATTTGTGTGTAATCAATGAATCAACACATGGGACACGTTGCATGCAATGTAATAGGCGTGATTTCTCTTTGTACTCGGTTACAGCAAGAGTTCCTTTCACTGCCGCTCTAAATAGAAATTTAAACAAAGTTTATGAACTTATGGCTTGGTGGTTTTTTTATAATAACACTCGCAAACTTCGTTCAGATCATGTTTGCTTTTTTCACATATCTGTTCTTGCACGTAACCTAGAGTTGGTTGATGCTCTTGGAAACAACTACACCTACCACTTTTGATTGTTTGAAAGAATGTATGATTCGTTTCAAAGCAAAAATGTGCGCACATCTCGAGAGTGAAAGAAGCTGGTAAGATCATCATGATATTCTCCGGTTGACGATCATTCACGCTTAAATAGATATCGTGCGTCTTTCGTGGCTTGCTTTTATAAACGGAATATGAATCCCTTCCACCACAAGCATCTTTATTGTCGCAAGGAACATCACACTGGGATGAAGCCACTGCTGAATCTAACCTTCCAATACAGTTGCATTCTTTCCCACTCTTCAAAGCGATCATATTGTTACTTTCATCTGTGCACTCCTGTGAACATTCATCCACTGAGCCAACTGATGCAACTGTCTTCGTTGAGCTGATGCTTCGATAGCATCCTATGTAAGATTCTTTCAAGTCGATTGCTGCATGGGCTACTGAGGACAGGTTTATAGAAATAAATAATAATAATAATAATACGCAAGTTATTGATAGCAAATACATGAAATCAGCAGACGAGAACAAATTTATTTCATTGTGATGTTAAGAATCTTTTGACATTAAAAAAATTATCAAGCCTAATTTTAAATATTTTTAGAGATGGAGCATCAACAACGTCGCTAGGCATTGCATTCCATGGGGCTAGAACACGGTTAGAGAAAAAGTATTTTCTGCAGTCTTTTTTGCCAATCGAGTACACAAGCTGAGATGATGACCTCTGAAGTTGATTTCAGCTCGTCGGCTTAACTGAGGACAAATTGCTGGGTCTACCAGATTATGCAATATTTTATAAACAAGGATTAAGTCACCTCTGAGTCTGCGATATTCAAGAGAAGGTGGATTTAGTTTTACTAATCTTGAGTGGTAATCTAGATTCTGGCAAGACTGAGGAAATTTTGTAGCTCTTCTTTAAACTCTCTCTAAATCATTGATCAAGCCTTTCCTATAGATTCCAAACTTGAACAGCAAATTCTAGATGCGAACGAACTAAATAAAGATTTGTAGATGCATATGAGTCGTCAGACAGGCAACTGAAATTACGACGGTAGAAAAAATTTATTTTGAACGCAGGAATGTTTATTTTGAGCTATGTTTTCATTTATCTTACGCATTGTGACACCATAACAATAAATGATGTTGATGTACGATTATTTTAAGATTTTGAAATTATCGGCGTTGACTAATTTGTTGCTCGCCTTTTAAACTTTTCTAACTGCAGTTTTGTGAAAATCGTTCAAACTCTAAAAATAAAAAGATAATTATTATCTAAATTCTAAAAATAAATAAATAAATTTGTCGTGCACTGACGGCGATTTGGGCGTTCTTAGCTGCTCGTTACCATCAATTTGTATAATTATTAATCGCACACCAAACTAAATTATTTTTTAAAAAGTTCATCAGTTAGTTTTTTATTCATAAATATTTGATAGATAAATCTTCGCCATATGGTAGAAAAAATTAACCAAAAGTTGTTTAACAAAATAAATAATTTCCATTAAGTATGTTCGTTTAATTCTCTTTCACTGAATAAGTATTCAGTTTTATTTAATTATCAAAACAGTTTTGCAAAGCGTTTCCTGATTGACGATGACTCCTAATCTTCTGTGTCGGCTTCTGATTGGGCATCTTCTTCATTTTTTTCATTTTTTTCTTTCTCTTCTTCTTTTTTTTCTGTTCATCTTCCTCTGGATCTTTTAATTTTTTTCTTCACAATGAATCCAACCATGACGGCAAATAAAAACAATGCAGCTACGATACCAGCTGAAATGTACCAAAAATTTCCAAAACTTAGTTTGGACTTTTTACTTTTATTGGCGGTTTAGGCATATTCATTGAATTAACCGACAGACCAAAAAACAGCCGACATAAATTGTTTTAGAAAAAATTTAGAATAAAACAGAATGCAAACAATTCACCCAAAAAGACGACCACTTGGACTAAATTCTCATTTCTGGAATCATTGCTTAACATTGCAACGTCCTTACCGCTATAAATCAACATCGTAATCGCTATATCATTGTTGTTACAATTACACATTTATCACCATCATCGTTATATATTATTAACGTTAAATGGGCCTCGTGTCAAGCTATTTATAGCGTAACATAAAGTTAGATAATTCATGATAATGAAAATAGAATAATACAATTCATTCAATCAATCATCCATATATTTATTTAAATATTCATTCGTTAAAATTAACACTTAATTATTTACTTTATTATTTTATTTATTTATTATTTAAACAAATAGCTTAAACAAAATAACAAATATTATATCATGAACACAAATAAACAATTGCAATGGAAATGTATATTATTCAGTTAAATATACACATATCTGAATAAATAGATACATACACACACACACACACACACACATATATACATATATATATAAATATACTGTTATATCACCTATATTACATTCAGTCAATCATTTTTTACAATCAAACATGAATAAAATACCAATCAATCATCTAATTTAATCACTCAATCAACCATCCAAACTAGTCGATTAAAAAAAATCAAACAAACAATGAGTCTTAGCCTCTAGTATATTTTCCCCAAATATGCAGCATAAAAACTGAGGCAATGAATAGAAGGGACATCACTAAAACCGGAACTGGACCCCTGAACAAGAAACAAAATAATAAATTAATAAACAAAATTAATACATAAATGCATATTCGTATAAAAAAGAACATACACTAAAAGTGTACATGCACTTGGACATTAATTAAAAAAACACTTAAAATTAAAAAGTAAAAAAAAGTTCAAAGTTCAGTGCACTAACACTTTAATTCCAGGAGAATCTTCAGTGTAGAATCTCCACATCCCTGCCCCACCAGCACCACCTGATGACTTTTTAGATCCCACTGTTGAGGCTGGAACTTTTCTGTCAATGGTTATTTTTTAAAAATGAATTTACTTTTATGTTTTAATCATGTTTTAATAATTAATTTAAATTAAAACAAAGTATTTCATTACTAATTTTTTACTTTAAAATTTAAATAATCATTATATTTGGCCTTGATTCTATTAGCCAAGATTATTCATCATTTCAAAACAAATCTGGCAAGGGTTATTTAGATTTATTTATCAATTTTGTGCTAATTATTTAAAAATTTAAAATTATATTAAAAATTTGTAAATGATTTTTGTCATAAAAAGTAAAATAAGTTATTGAACCAAAACCAAGTATAGACAGCCACGTTCTAAGCTAAAAATACCTTTGTCTGACTGTTCCGGCTCCTGCTCTGGGGGCTGATTTCCCGGCAGCGGCCCCACTGCTTTTTCCAGCTCCGACAGATGTTGCGCTTGGAGACGTAGGCTGGAAAATTAAAAATATCCTTAAATCCCTTAAATTTAAATATAATAGTAATAAAAAAAAAACAATTATTGGATGTAAAAAAATCAATGAATGATCAATTTTTGATGAAACATGACAAATAGACTGCAAGTTTATCTAAACATTAATCGAAAATTCGAACCATCGTGACGAAATGAGAATTTAACGTGTCAAAAGGAAGTGACGAGCAGCGAAACGAAAACAATTTAATAAGTTTAAAAGCTAATCTAGCTTAATAGTTTATAATATTTCGTGCCATTTTAACTTTAATGAATAAATATTTCTAAAAGCATTCAGGCAGCTTATTGTTTTACAAATTTTATGTTATAAAAAAATATTTTAAAATAAATTTTATTAAATTAAAACGGAAATTGTTAAATTGGCTGTGTTTATTTACGAAATATTGATTTTGTTTGGCTTTTACTAATTATTTTTATTTACAAAATGCATCATTTTATACTTTTTAATGCGAGGAAATACAGTTCATATTTTCTGAAATATTTTTGAAAAATTTATTTTTGCATGTCATAAACTTGAAATAAAATTTTTAAAGACCATATTGATGTCCACTTGCTTGCCTGATCAATTTCTGAGTTGGAATTGAATTGAATTGCTTATTTAGTTATTTTATTTGTTTAATAAAGTTAGTGACATTTACACCGGAATTTTGATTGACGTCCTATTCGTCTGTCCTCTTGCCGTCTGTTTCAATTTGCAACTGTTGAAAATCGAACAGCATGTCGTTAGTAATTTTTTAATTCAATTATTAATAATTAAATAAACTTACAAATATTTTTAAATAATTTTACTCTAGTATAATTTAATATATAGTCTAGTAGAAAGTAAAACTTCAAAATGCCAACCCAACCTAACCTAGATCATCTCGGGGTTATTACGGCGATTCGTATGACCGCCACCTACCAATGTCAAATGACCAGTCCACTATATACAAAATGAAGGAAACGTACTGGACCACCAAACAAGTTGTTATGAAGAAATTAGGCAAAAAAGAAGATGAACACATTGTTGCATCTGATTCAGAACTGGATGCTAAGTTGGAGGTTTGTCAGTTGGTTGGTCTGTTGGTTTGTCAGTTGGTTGGTCAGTTGGCTAGTTGGTTGGGCAGTGGGTTAGCTTTGGGGAAAAAGAAATTTTGAATGGTTGAATAATTTTTGACCCACCAATTTATAGCATTTTATGTTTTTTTAAATACATTTTAAATTGAATTGAATTGAAATAATATTTAATTTCAATTTTTACTTAAATGCTATTAAAATTTGTTAAATTTATAAAGCTAATTAATATGCATATATATTTATTTATTTGTTAATTCTTTTTTTTTATCAATACACTTACCTTGAAAGGTCTTTAAAGCAATCCAGAAGTCATCCACTGATCTATTAAGAGTGATTGAAAAATACCAAGAAAGAATATGTGGTGAGATATATGTACATCTTCTTTCATCATCACCATCTTCATCATCATCTTCTTTATCACTATCATCATCTTCATCATCATCATCTTCATCGCCATCATCATCTTCATCGTTGCCATCTTTATCTTTACTATTAGTACTCTCTAGGGAAGAAAATGCTATGGGCAGATTATTGAAAACCGAAAGTCAGCACGACAAGACGAGGGCGGGAAAAATGATGGCAGCCGTTGGCAAGGCTCAGAGTTTCTCCTCTCAGCAGATGTCTGTCATACTTACTAATTCACTAATTTCAGTAACCATTTTCAATATTACAAGTGATTCACAAATTTCACAATCAGTAATTTCATTTTTAGTAGTAGTACTACCTACCATCATTATTAATACTAACACAGATGAATTATAACATTCACATTATCAAACAGCAAAACCAAAGAACATTATCGACACGATTACTAATGTCTTCGCTTAATTTAGGTTACAGCTTCGAGCACCGCTGGTACGACTCTACCAGGAAGTGGAAACGTTTCGACACCGAGCCATAACAGATACGATGATCACAATAAACCGGATGGAAGCTGCCAGGACCGAGTACCGGGGCACTCTTCTCTGGATGAAGGATGTCTCCAATGAACTGGACCCTGATACAACTAAGCAACTACAGAAGTTCAGAGCCGTGCAGGTGTGTGTTAGTACGTGTGTATGCGTGTTTGTTTTGTTTGTGTGTGTGTTTGTTTGTGTGTGGGTTTGGGTGTTTGTGGATTTGCTATCAACATTGATTGACCTATGATAACATTAACATTATTAATCAAACAACAAAACTAAAAACAATGTCATGATCCCAAGGCACATACACATACAAACACACACACACACACACATACACACACACACACACGCATTCGCCAGGCTCAGGTCAAGAAAACGAAATCCAAGTTCGACAAACTGAAACTGGATGTCATGCAGAAGGTTGATCTACTGGCTGCCTCTCGTTGCAACATGTTCAGCCAGGTCCTGGCAAAGTATCAGTCAACTCTTCTGCACTTCTGGGAGAAGACGTCAGTCAGGATGACGGCCGTGGCTGAGAGTTTCAAGGGCTACCAATATTACGAGTTTAACATGCTTAAGGTTGATGCTAGAAGATTTCGGTTTTCCCTTTTTTTTTCAGTTCTTTATCTTCTGTTTTTGTTGTTGTTTAATGTAGGTCAAGGTTGGTGACGTTAAATGTAAGTCAAGGTTGTTTTAACAAGTCTGGTCTGGTGCCGTGTTTTTTCTTCTTAGTTTGGTCATTTTGTGATTGATGTTGTGAGCTGGTTGTTGTTGTTGTTGTTACTGTTGTTGTGTTTGGATGAATTATTATTTAATGATTTATTACACCTGGTTAATTAATTAATTAACAATTAAGATGAAAAAAAAATTAAATTGTGCAAATTGACAACGTAGGAGCTAGGTGACCCGAGTAAGAAACTCGCAGAGATAACCGGTGGCCTCAGTGGCCATAAGGATGACGACGACGACGACAACGATCATGCTAGGTTCCGCTTCTCTTTCTGATCTATCATTCATCTGTCTTTGTTTTCATTTAGTTATTTTTTTTTTTCATTTAATTTGTAATTGTTACCCTTGATTGTTTCATTTTCTGTTTGATTTATTTCATATGTTTATTTTATTAAGCAATTTATTCATTTTAATTATTTGTTTTTTTTTTCATTCATTCGTTCATTCCATGTGATTCATGTTATTAATGTCAATGCTTTGTATGTGATTGTTTTTCACATTTTGTTATGTATAATTTTGTACACACGTCCTTACGTACGTGTGTTTATGTATATGTGTTTGTGTGGTGCGTGCGAGTGTATGTGTGTGTGTAGAGCTATATGATTATATGCACATATTATATATATATATATATATATATATATATATATATATATATATATATAACTTCTCTTATTTATTACTATATGCAACTTTTTCACTTTCACTCCATCTATCCGTCATCATCATCATCGTCATCAGCGATTACAACAATGATGGTGGTGATGATGATGATGATAAAAAGGGACGTGGCAGAGGAAGAAGAAACGATTATAAATCCGGTGACGTTGTTGACGTCATAAATGATGATGGTGGTAATGATGATGATGATGATGATGGTGGTGGTGGTAGCTCAGCTGGGAAAAAACGCAGACATGATGATGATGATGATGGTAGGCCGGCTGAGAACCACGCTGATCACAGAGGTGATACCAGTGATGGTGATAAAAATATTGACGATAATAATGACAGTTATAAGCATGACACTATAGATCAATTACTGTTAGATCTAAACTTCACAACTGTTGCTGACGACGAGGCCGGCGGCAGTTACAACGCTAACGTTAATAACAGCGACAAGAGTGACGTAATCGATATTACCGATAATCTAACTTACGTTGGCCGCCCTAGTCCGGCTGCCAAGCGCTTCGCCCTTGTTCCAGTTCCACTTCAATTAGCAAAACATCTCGACTCTATTGAGGGCAGTTTCTCTCAACTTTCTGGTTCTTCGTCCAAGACTTCGTCACAGCAACGACGTCTTTGTAGTGATGTCGCCAACAACCAGAGTGGCCACAACTACGACGGTGACGTCATCAATAACAACGATAATAACAACAACGATGACGATGCTAAAGATAATAACAATAATAATAATAATAACTATAGCGATGGTGATAAAAATGATGCTCCACTGTTACCGTATTTACTGGATGATTGTGGCGACGATGGTTTCGGTGGTGGTGAAAATAGAGTTTTTCATCATCAACAACAACAACCTCATCATCATCATCATCAACAACAACAACCTCATCATCATCATCATCAACAACAACAACCTCATCATCATCATCATCAACAACAACAACCTCATCATCATCATCTCCTTCACCCAATGAGTAAAAACTTCAGGTTATGCACAGCGATAGAAAATAATAGCTTGTGATGATGGTAACGACAAGATGATGATGGTGGTGGTGGTGGTGGTGGTGGTAGTGGTGGTGGTGGTGGTGGTGGTGGTGGTGGTGGTGGTGGTGGTAGTGGTGATAATCTCACTATTATTATTGTTATTATTATTATTGGTATTATTATCATTGTTATTATTATGGTTGGGAATCTATTATCATTAACATTGGCAGAAGTGAAGCTAGCTCACGGGGCTTATTAACCTCTTGGCAAATGTTTGTCTCTATCTTGTTATTTTTGGCTGTTCTTATGTTATTATTTTTGTTGTTAATGTTAATTTATTATTATCGTTATTATTATATTATTATTATTATTATTATTATTAACTTTAATTATACGATTTATATATATCAGTGGTGTTATATGGCTTCCATTGAGTTTTCCAACAGATGCTGTATTAGAAAGTTTTTGTTTGTTTGAGTTTCGTTTATTCGTTCATTCATTTATTCTTTCTTTCATTCATTTATTTTTTTTTCATTCATTCTTTCATTTATTCATTTTTTTTTCATTCATTCATTCATTCATTCATTAGTTTTATTCTATTTTTTTAAAGTGCAAAGTATATTTTTATTTATGCGACTTATTAACTCATATTTTGAATCTAAATTGTTATTCATTCGGGCATTCGTTCGTTCGTTCATTTATTTATTAATTTATTTGTTCATTTATCCATTCATTTGTTCATTCATTCAGGCGTATTTAATTCATTCAAAATCCTTATTTTGTAACAATGATTTAAAGCTTACAGCTATTGATTGATTCGTTCATTCTTTTTATCCATCAATTCACGAATTTATCTATTCATCTACATTCATTCATTCATTCATTCATTCATTCATTCATTCATTCATTCATTCATTCATTCACTCACTCATTCATTCAAACTATCATCATGCAGTCACAAGGATAGCAGCAGCAACGTGCAACCGCAGCAGCAACCGCAACCGCAACCTGGCAAGAGAGACAGTCTCAACAATCTCTTTGAAGACCTTTCTAAGCCTAAAAATGGTTGCTATTGCATTTTATTATTATTATTGTTGTTGTTATTATTATCATCATCGTCGTCGTCGTTATGACGTCATCACTCATTAATATGACGTCATCATCAGCTGATTCAGACTCCATAATAGACTTCGGTGATGACGATGAGGTGGACCTGGAGGAGATAAAGAGGAAGCAGGATGAGGAGTTCAACTTCACTGGCATGCTCAAGCAATCATCCGTCACTAGTCGCAAACTCAAACAGCAGGAAAAATGTTAGTTTGTGCCTTTTTGTGTGTGTTTGTGTGTATTGGTGTGTCTGTTTGCGTGTGTCTGTTTGTGTGTGTCTGTGTGTGTGGAACGCTAGTTATGTTCTGTAGGTTTTGTAGGCTTCTGGTATCCATTGTTGTGTTGTTGTTATGGTGATATTTAGTAATTAGTACTGGCGAATGCTTATTATTTAGCACTTAGTCGTAATAAATGTCGCTAGCAGTAGTATTTTTTACAAGTTTCTTTTGAGAACTCAGCAGCTTCCACTAATTTTCATCGTACTGAAACACTCTATCTATCTAGCCTTGAAATCGCCATCTTCAAACTCCATGGATCTCTTCTCAGACGACTTGGAATCGATCGACATCAGTGGCGTCACCAGTGGTGGTAACCTCGGGGGCAGCGACCTTCACAAGGACAACATGAACTTGCTCAACGAAATTTTAAACGCCCCGGCAGAAAATGATGACTTCTCGAAAGAATGGAACGCCGTATTTGGAGTCGGGGGTACGCCACTTTCACCCCAAAAATCTTCTTCCTCGTCTACATTCGGCGGTGGCTTTGGCGGTAACGTTGGTCCTTTGCTTGGCGCGTCGTCGTCGTCGTCGTCGACTTCGCTGATGTCTGGTGTTGGTGGTCTCGGTGGTGTGGCTGGCGTGGCTGGAGCTGCTGCTTTGTCGCAATTCATGCCGTCTTCTCTGTTGGATTTGAATCCATGTAAGTTTGATTGGTCAGCTAGCTGGAATGTAGATTGATTGGTTTGTTTGCTAGTTTGCTTGCTTGATTGATTAATTGGTTAATTAATTGATTGATTAATTGATTGATTGATGATGATTTGTAATTTTATGACTAGTCATTTCAACTTTCTTTTATTGTCCGTATTGATTGCCATTTTTGCCTTTAAAAATGCACTCATTCCTTTGCTATTTATTTAATTAATTAACCTCATTATTATTATTATTTTTATTATTGTTATTATTATTATTATTATTATTATTATTAAGCAGCTATACCAGCAGCTGGCAACCGTCCGACGTTGCTTAACATTGCGTCATCGTCAGCAGCAATGACGACAGCAACTTCTGCGGCTACTTCTACTTTTGCACAAAAACTTCCAATTATGAGCAAGAAAAAGGTGATGATAATAAGGATGATGTTGATAATGATGATGATGACGACGACGATGATGACGAAGATGACGTTGATGATGATAATGATGTTGATGATGCTGATGACGACGACGATGATGATGAGAATATTGAAGAAAATGTTATAGTAATACAAAGAATTATAAATTTCAATTTCTATGCAGAACAACAAACAGGAAATGTCTGCGTGGTTTAATTTATTTGCCGAACTCGACCCACTAGCGAATCCGGACGCCATTGGTCGAAAATCTGATGACATCACCGATGCTTAAGTGACTCTTCCTCTCATTGGCTAAATCAATTAACCAATGAAATGCCAACGAAATATTGGCATAAATATTAACTATATTTGGTTAAGAATAATTATATGGATGCTGGGTATACATTTGTTCTATTTTTTTTAATTGTTTTATATTCTTAATTGAATTGTATGTAAATTTATTGATTAATTAATCAATTAATTATTTACTTATTTGTACGATATACCATCCTGATTCAAATATTCTCTCTCTCTTTCTCTCTCTCTCTTTTTCTCTAAATATATATGTATGAACATTCCATTTTTCAGTGTAATTCTAATTAAATTAAGACTGTTGTAAGTCTTAATGTACAAACTTCCATAAACACACATACTTGCATAACGCAATTACATACATATTCATACCTACGTACCATACGCACATTTGCATATTCCTACATACATACATACATACGTATATACATACATACATACATATATACATACATACATATATATATATATACATACATACTTACATCATACATAGATACTTACATACACACGCATATTCAAAGAAA